CAGGGCCACTACTGCAGGGTGACTCACTGAGCCGCCAGGAGGCCTGGGCTTCCTTCCGGGAAATCAGGGATCCCATGTGGGCCTCTCAGACCCAGCTCTCGCGTGAAGTTGAGAGCTTCCAGCCAGTCTTCTAGGGAGGGCAAGAGGTGGCGGGAATATTGGAAATGGCTCTGCCCCTCACATGCTGTGTGTCCTTGAGTGAATGATCTGGCCTCTGAACACCAGTTTCTTCCCCTGCGAAAGGTGGGAGTTGCAGCAGGTGATTTCTTAGGATCCTGCCTGCTCTGTTTCACGGTCTCCAAATTCTCATCAACAGGACTTAGCTCAGGTCTGTGCTCTCCATCTTGGCTGCATATTTGAGTCACCTGAGGCACACTAAAGATTCTAAACCCAGATGTTCTGGTCTGATAGATCTGGGGTCCAATGTGGGCATCAGGAATCTTTAAAACTTCCCAGGTGTCCCTAACATACAGCCAGGGTTGAAAGCTACTGGGCTACACCTGATTTTACAGAAGAGGAAACTGGGCTCCCATCTCTGGTCAGCAGGTCAGCCACCAGTAGAATCCAGTGACTCCCACTTGCAGGTATGGGACTTCACAGCCACCCTCTGCCAAGGACCTGGGGAACATTGCACCTTTCCATTCTTCAACAATCTTCTCCTCCATCTCTTTCCCTCTCTGCCCCATCCCTCTCTCCAATGAGCTAAATCTTTCTCAAGTAGCTCCTGCCTCTATCCTGTGAAAGTCCCTGCCAGGAGGAGTGGCCACACCTGTTTGCCTCCTTGAACTAGGAAGGAAGGAGGGAAATACAGGCAGAGATATGCAGAACTCAGGGTCTCCCACGTCACTCTGCCTCCCACCCAAAGCACCTTGCTCCCGGTTTGTCATAGGACAAGGGGAAGCTGCTGTGAGGACACTGAGGGTGATGGGAAAGTTGAAAAAGGAAGAGGAGAGAAATAGCACATCTGCATTTAGACATTATCCCTGGATGCTTCTTTGCATGTTGGGAAAGGCTCACTACAATCTAGTCATGTTTAGCCCTTTAGGAGCCCTGGGGTAGTGAGTCCAGGGCCAGCCCTGGGGGCTTTTCTCCCAGCCCCTTTTCAAAGTCATGTTGACCTTGGAGTGTCTCCTGCCCCAGGAGAGCGCTACAGCTGCTGCAGACAGCATGAGATGCTTCTCTACGTGGGCCCAGCTTCACTCTTCTGTGCTCCTGATGATGGAGGACAGAAAGTGGCTCTTCCTTCCTGGCAAGCATTTCCAGTCTCTGAAGACTCTCTGGGGAAAAAGCACCAAGGGGGAGAGGCTTCCTAAGTCCCTTCACTGGGGGCTTATCCGTGGTCGACGTTCCTGGGGAGACATACATTTCATCAGTTACTTTCCATCTCAAGCCACTCTCCCTCCTCTCTGCAAGCTTACACTGCAGCCCCATGGAATTACACACAGTGCCTTGCGTATGCCAAGGTTTTTCCACCTCTAGTCGTGCTGGTTCCTGTCCTGGAACCCCCTTCCTAACTCGATCCTGCTGAGCAGCCTGGGATCTGTGTACGGGACGCCCCTCAGAGTCACCCAGACACAGGGGAAGCTGGGGATTTTATTCCCCGCCCCTCAGTCACGGGTGCAGGCCTGCTCCTGGGGCACTCGCCCCCCAGCATCTCCAATGCCAGGCAGCCCAGAGAGCCACATTCCTGTCCAAGGAACCCTTAGAGAACATTCCCAGGAGGAGCAAATGTCCACGCTGTGTGGCGTCCTCCTGGGGCGCTCCTTCTGGGGGGGACCCCAGCCCCTCCTGCCCTTCCACCCAGAATCCTCCTGTCCCATGGGTGAAAACTGGAGCCCAGGTTGGAGCTCTGCTGTGTCTCTCAGACTCTAGTGAGTGTCAGAATCCTCTGGAGGCCTTGTTAAAACTCCGATGGCCGGGCCTACCCTGAGGTTCTGATTCGGGAGGTCTCAGCAGAGCCCGAGAGCTACCTTTCCCAGCAGGGTCCCGGGGTGCTGATGCTGCTTCCCTAGGACCACCCCGAGAGCCCTGGCTCTCCACCGGAGCCTGCCCACCTCGATACTGTTACCACAGGCCACGGGTCACCCCTCACTGCTTCACTCCACGCCCTCGCCTGTGACCTCATCTCCTCCCACCTCCCTCTCGGCCACGCGGCTCTAGCCACACCCACCTCCCTGCCATTCGTCAGCCAGGATCACCAAGGTCTCTCCTGCCCCGGGGCCTGTGCACCTGCTGTGCCTCTGCTTAGGGTGCTTTTCCCAGGACTCGCTCGCCTCCTCAGAGAGGCCTCCTGACCCCTGACACGGCCTTGCCCTTCACCTCTATCGTCCTTCAAAACAACCCCCACCTCCCGCACATCATGCAGTTGCCAGTTAAACTGCTACTGCTTGTCCTCCAGACTCGAAAGTAACCTCGCAGTGGGCGGTGGGCAGGGGGCATTGTTTTGTTCCCTGCCCTGTCCTGGCACCCAGAGCAGTGCCTGGCAGGGGTGGGTGCTCAGTACACACCTGTAAACAAGTGACTCCAATGCAGGGACCGTTCTCTCTGATCTCTAAATCCACCTTTCTTATGTTGTATTAACAATATTGAATGTTGTTCCACACATCATCCATTTTCTTTTCTGACTTTTAGATCATAGTGCCGTACAGAACAACTGGGCAAAAAATGGACTTTCAGACACGGCAGGTGCCCAGGTCCAGGCCCCACCCTTTGGTCCTGCAGGGACTGCACTCATTTATTTTTCTCTCTTCCGGCTCTCCACGTGCCAACAGCTCCCTGGCTTTAATTTTCATCCATTTAAGTTGAAAAAAAATCAAAACAAATGAAATGCACTTAAGAGAAAGCCTTGAGGAGTTAGCGGGCCACCTGAAGTGAATGGACTCCTTTCAAGGAGTTCTCATTTGTTGTTATCAATTATTTATTGGGCTCTGATATGTTCCCGGCGCCACCAAGACGGAGAGGAGACAGGGTCCCTGCCCTGGGGCATCCCAAAGAAGAAGGGAGAGTTTGTGAAATGAAAAAATGTCCCATATGATACGACAGTTACACGTCACCCCTCAAGGCTGCTGTATGCTTTTATTATGTTTTTACTTTTAAGGATGTTCATTTATTTTCTGATTTAAAAAATTAATTGAAATGTTTATAAAATATTCCTAGAAAATAGAGAAAAAATAAAATCTAACTCCAGTGTTTTTAATGCACATATAAAATCTATTTGGTTTATAAAATTAGGGTTTCTTCTAAATGTTTAATTTAGTTAGTTTGGAAGTTTTGTTAATTTACTCATCAGATTCTGCTTTGAGTTTTATTCACATTATACCATGTACATTTCTTTAGGCCATCAAGCAGTCTTCAAAAGCATAAATTTCATTAGTTACAATGTATTTCATATAGATATACCATAACTGCCTTCAACAATCTTCTATTTCTGGGCAATAAATTTTTTTCTTGTTTTTCTTTTGGTTATTATAATATTGCTTGAATATGCTTAGTTTAGAAAGCCTTGACTCACCGTTATTATCATTTCAGTTTATAATCAGGAAGAGGAAAAGCCTAACTCTAAGGCTGAAACTAAATCCTAAAGCTAGTTACACAGTCTCTCTGAGCTTTGCTGTCGTCTTCTTTCCTGTGGTAAGAATAATACTGAGGTCCTAGGGAGCTGTGAACCATATGCTGTGAGAGAACACAGCTGAGCAGCCCAGCCAGAGCCCCCTGGGGAAGCCATCGGAGGTCAGCAGCTCCCGTCCCCTTCCCTCTTGACTCCTAAGAGTCTGAGAGAGAACTTTGCCCTCCCTTCTTCCTGTCCAAAAGACATACAATGATAATGATGCTGATGGTTATTTAGTAAGAAACTTCCCAACAGTCGTCAGGAGGGGACACAGTTGCATTCTCTCCAGCGAAGATGTCAGGGTGGACAGAAATATCACCGTGATCCAAAGAGGACACGAACACTCCTGCTATTTTATTGTCACCAGGGAAAGAGCAGCTCTAGGTTTGACGAATGTTTAGTGACAGTTAGTTTGCAAAAGTCAAAAAGAAACTGACATAATGATAGCCAAACAGGCTTTCTCTGCATTAGAAGAGCTCAGTGGACCCTTGCATGTCTGATTAGAGAAAAACAAAACAAACAAGGAAGAGCTCCTCCAATGCACAGAGGTGCTGCTCCATTGAACTAGACCAGAAGAACTTGGGCCTGCCCCTTGGGAACAGGGGCCAACATGACATGGTGGGCAAGGACCCATTATCTGACATGAAGATGCCCTGAGGGCATTGGAAAGCACGGTGTGTCAGGAGAAGATGGCCCTGAGGGCAGGTGCATTCAGGTGCTAGTGAGTGCTGCAGCATGTTGGGTCTCTAGTTTTGTATCAGTCAGCTACTCTCACAATCATGCTGTGTAACAAAACACCCCCAAACTCAGTTACAAACAGTAGTATTTATTTCTCATTCTCATGTCCACAGGTCTGATGGGGTTCATCACATCTCAGCCAGGACTGGCTTTTCTTGGCTGCAAGCTGAAAGCTGGGTCCAGGTCTGCTATACTGAGGGTCTCCCATCTTCCTTGGACCAGTGACAACCAGAGGCCTATTTCTCTCATAATGGAAGGCAGGAGAACAAGCAGGCAAGACCAGCTGTGCTAGCATATGCTACCCCTCTGCCCATATCACACCTGCTAATGTCCCATTGGCTAAAGCAAGTCACACAAGCAAACCCAACATTAACAGGACAAGGAAACAGACTCCACCTCTAGAGGCACAAACTACAAAGTCACATGACACAGGGCATGGATTCAGGGGAGGAAGATGGAGAATGACAATAATGACCCTCAATAACACAACCTCCCATAGGTTTCCAAATCCCCATCCCAGGCATATTTCCAAGGAAATGGAATCATGGGTTCAGGGTTTTAGAGCAAGCAATTTCTGCTTGCCCAGCTTAGTTTCCACACCCTTAACACAGGGGCAATGATGTTGCATCAAATCGTATCTTAGAAGTTTGTGATGACGTTTAAACAACTAAATGCCAAAAAAGTACTTAGGTCAGGGCCAGGTAGGAGGGGCAGAAGCCAATGGTAACAAGTAGCATCACTGTTAACCCACAAAGTTCTGGGAATTTCCTTGAAAGTCTGATTAGAGAATCATGTCCCCAACAATTAACATTTCTTTTGTTTCTGTTTGTTTGTCTGTTTGAATCTAAGAAAATACTAATTGTCCCAGGATAGAATATTTATCTGATGAGCATATAGAAGTTAAGGGCTCCTTGGAGTCACAGTGCTGGGTTTGGGTCTCACCCCTCCTCCTACCTGCCTCTCTCAGCCTCGGTTCCTCATCTGTAGAATGGGTACATTCCCAACCTCATGTGTCTGTGGCAATCAGGGTTAAATGGGCTAATGACTCTAAAGTGCCCCGTGCAGGCCTGGCAGGTACTGAGCAACCTTGGGTCATAGCAGGAGCACTGACTTGGGAGTCAAGAGCTGGGACCGCCGGTCCTATTCTCCAGGGATCCAGGAGAAGTCCCTTGGCTTCCCTGAGCTTCATCCACCCCACGTGCTAGTGAGGTGGCTGGACCAGTCAGGCCAAGGATGTCCCTGCAGCTCTCTAACTTCCCCTTACTCCCTGCTCAGCAAAGGGCAGGCACTGGGCCTGGTCAGGCTCCCACAAAGCCCAGGCGTGGCCGTGCTCAGCTCAGAGCGGGTGTGGGGGATGCGTTTCTGCCCTCAGAGGACTGAGCTCCAGTTTCTTTCTTCACTGAGCCCTTTACTCTCTGCCTGCGGGTGGTTATTTAAGACATCTCCCGCCTGCAGGGGCCTCTTAAAGAACAAACAGGGATCGTTCCTTCAGCTGCAGCGCAGGCTTTACTGGGCTTGTTCCTGCCTTAAGTGGCCAGATCCTCCCTGAATGGAGTCGCCCCACAGGCCCCACACCCAGAGAGGGGCAGCCAGAGGCCTCCGAGGCTCTGCCCAGCTTGTCCTGAATGTGCTCCCTGCCCTGAGTGGAGCGCTCACAGCTCCCTACATCAAGGTTTCTGTCTCCCTAAGGATCTTCCTCTTAAAAAACCTTCTTCTCCCAGATCCCACAAACTGACATTATAAAAACACAAACACCCAATAAACACCACGTAAACTGATCACACACAGATAATATCCAAAAAGAAGAACTCGTATAACCACTTTAAACTATAAAACATGTCTGTTGGGATTTGTGGGAGATCATGGATCACAGCCTCCCCCTGCTCCTGGTTCAGCACCGTGAGAAATGGAAGCAGGGTTCACCCGGGGGACGGGAAAGCATCAGCTGCCACTCATGAGGCTGGGGGCAGGGAAGCCCCTCGTCCGCGGACACAAACAGGCGTCCTGACATGACTTCCATGAGCAGAAGCGTCCAGACAGAGCTGGAAAGCTGACCTCACAAGGCTGAGGACCGGCCGTGAGCTCTGCCTGACTGCAGAGAAGGAAAGTTCTCTTCTTGCAACCTCAAATCTTCCAGGTAAGAACCGAACGAAATCCGGCCTTTGTGTTCTCTCCACCAGCTCCCGGCTCACCCACCCAGCAGCTCAGTACCTGTGAAATCCGTCTCCCGATGCACACTTGCTAACCGGGGCGGGGTGGGGTGTGAGCACGACGATGGGAAACAGCGGGAGTCCCCTGAGTGCAGACTCAGGAGTGAACCTGCCTGAAGAGTGGCATCTAACGCACACGCTGTGGTCAACTCCACTCCACTCTGGGTCCCAAGAATAGGAGCAAATGTGTATTTAGCTTGCAGGGCAGGTGTTTCATCCACATTATTGCAGGAACAGATGAATTTAACTAACAGAACAGCACAGTGGGCACCTCTTCCAGGGATGCCTCCCTTAGGAACATGACACCGAGATGATCAAGATTCTAAAAGGGCGATCGAATTACTCTCCGAAAATGAAACTGCTCAGACAGAATGACAATTAAATTAATAACAACGAAGACAATGCCCAGATTTCATCTCAGCTCACAGCCCTCCTGTGTGCTGTGTGATGGGGTTCTTGGGGATGACTCCAGATGCAGGGAAGAGTCAGGATTCATCCACAAGGGTGAGCTGACTGTCAGCATGAGGGTCCCCTACAGTGGAGCTTGCCAAGGTCCGTGGCTCCCAGGGGACCCGTTCCAGGGCTCACAGATGAAGCATGGAAATGCTGTGTGGAGTGAGCCAAGCAGCCGTTCTCAGGAGAAAACAGACAAATCCTCCTGCGTCCTGGCGAACCAGCTTTGTGGCCTGTTTTACGTCATCTTTGCTGAGCTCCACCGGGTCACCCCTCCTGCTGGCTTTGTGATACTGACATTTCAGGCACTGGCGCAGATACACTGGCCTTCCTGGCTGGGATTCCACGGGTGGAGTGAGCGGTGCTGGCTTGGAGGAGCCGTGGCTGCACAGGGCCTGTGCTCTCAGCTGATCAGTGCCTGTCCTGACCCCAAAGGGCCCTCGCAGTACTGTTCGAAATTGCTCTTGCCATCTTTGGAACGGATTCCTCAGTCCGTTTCAGACCCATTGTTGTGACTTTGGTTTCAATCCAGGGACACAGCTTGGCCAACGGACCGTCTCAACAACATCTACGATCGCTCTTTCCCAGAGACAGCATCTCAGACACCGATGCTGAAAGAGAAACAGCAGCCTGTTGCCAAGTGGTGGGAAATATCCATTTGAACGGCAATTTCATAAGTGGCAGATGATTTTTATTGTAATTTTCTGGTGAGCCAATTAAGTGGAGGCAGAGTCAGTTCTGAGGCATCAATGTCTTTAATAACTCGGGGAGACCGAGGCCGTGCTCAGCAGGAACACCGAGTCCATGGAAAACAGGCCCTGGGCCTGCTGATGTGCATAATTCCACGTTTGCCCCTCACGTAACCAGAATGGTAAATTACAGGTGTCAGATAATCACGCTCTGGAGTGGCTGCTTGAGGATGCGATCGACCAATTTAAGCTCCGTCTGACACATGATCAATAGGCCGTGATGCTGCATGGAATTGCAGGCACAGCGTCCAAACCTGTAGAGCAGTGGCTCCCAGCTGGGGCAACTTTGCCCCCCAGAGGACATTTGGCAACATCTGGATATGTTTGCAATTGTCACAGCTAGGAGAGGGGGATGCTATTGGCATCTGGTGGGCGAGGCCAAGGATGCTGCTAAACCTCCCATGATGCACAGAAGTCCCCACAGACACATCCTGTGCAGACTGTCCATAAAGCCTAGATGAGATGCTCTGACTTAGTGCCACAGTGAACATTCCACTCCATCGTCTGGGTATCTCCAGGGATGTACGTAGCTGGACGTCTAGCTTTTCATCTGGGTATCACTGGCCTCACGCAGAACCAAAACTGTGTGTAGATCGAATCTCTTATTTGCTCTGCCACTTCCTTTCAGTAATTTTCTCCTTCTCACTAGTATTTTCTGTTACTGGAGGAATGGTAAGAAAACATAAAATACTAGAGAGTCACTAACGATTTTGTTTTTGTCAATAAAAAAGTAATTTGCAAGTGACTCATAAAAAGCAGAAAATTAATGAAAGAAGACATGAGATCTATCAAAAGGCTGACCAGGGTGGCTCACGCCTGTAATCCCAGCACTTTGGGAGACCAAGGCGGGTAGATCACCTGAGGTCAGGAGTTCGAGACCAGCCTGACCAACAAGGTGAAACCCCGTCTCTACTAAAAATATGAAAAAGAAATTAGCCGGGCATGGTGGCGGTTGCCTGTAGTCCCAGCTACTCCGGAGGCTGAGACAGGAGAATTGCTTGAACCTGGGAGGCAGAGCTTGCAGTGAGCTGAGATCGCGCCAGTGCACTCCAGCCTAGGTGACAGAGCGAGACTCCGTCTCAAAAAACAAAACAAACAAAAAAACTGATCTGCTCAGGAGAGCAGCAGAGAGAAGAGTCCAGACGGGAGCTGGTCAGTTACAGGAGAGTACACAGAGCAGGACCTCGCGGGACTGGCCCAGAGCTCCTCTAACGTCAGTTCAGCGGTGCAACCGGCACTTTAAAACACTCATCACAGGGTTGAGTAGAAAATATCAAAAGGTGTCAGTACTACTTTCTGAAACTTTATATTCATATATATGGGGGGTGTGTGTGTGTGTGTGTGTGAGCATGCGCGTGCCAGGTTCCATTGTAAAATAATTTCTTATGATGGTTGTGATCAAAACAGCTTGAAAAACACGAGTGGATTCAATGATGGAGAATTGAGAAATAATTAAGTACCTCTAAGTAAATTTTGCAAGTAAAAAGAACAAGAAGGCTGGGCGCAGTGGCTCACGCCTGTAATCCCAACACTTTGGGAGGCTGAGGTGGGCGGATCACAAGGTCAGGAAATCGAGACCATCCTGGCCAACATGGTGAAACCCCGTCTCTACTAAAAATACAAAAATTGGCCAGCGTCACGCCTGTAATCCCAGCTATTCGGGAGGCTGAGGCAGGAGAATTGCGTGAACCTGGGAGGCGGAGGTCGTGCCACTGCACTCCAACCTGGCAACAGTGAGACTCCATCTCAAAAAAAAAAACAAAGAACAAGAAAATGACGAACTCTAGGAAAAATGAAAAGTGTATAAGAAAAAAATACAACTATATTACAGTACTTAGTTCTGCAGAAAATAGCATTTCCCTGGTCACAGGACATAAAGGTTGATGATGATGCAATTAAAAATAGTGATGTACCGTACAGTGTAGTAGGAAAGGAGCTGGTGGGTGGTATAACAGCTAACTTCTCATCTAGCTTAGCAGACATTAGATAACACTAGACCTTGAAAGCTCTATGAATAGCTTCCCTGGCTTCCTCTTTCTTTCTTTTCTTTTCTTTTTTTCTTTGAGATAGGTCTCACTCTGGTTTCCCAGGCTGGAGTGCAGTGGTACGATCTTGGTTCACTGCAGTCTTGACCTCCTGGGCTCAGGTGATTCTCCCACCTCAGCCTCCCAAGTAGCAGGGACTACAGGCACACACCACCACGTCTGACTAACTTTTTGTCTTTTTAGGAGAGACAGGGTTTTGCTGTGTTGCCCAGGCTGGTCTTGAACACCCGGAGTCTCAATCCACCCGCCGCAGCCTCCCAGAGTGCTAGGATTACAGGCATGAGCCACAGCACCCGGCCAAGCCTCCTCTTTCAGGATTTGGACATAATGTGCGGAAACTTGTGGATGTCTCTGAGGTGTGCAGGGAACAGAAAGATTCAATGGTGTTTGATTTGGTCACCATATAGCTCTTTAATGTAAAAAGGGATCATTCAGGACCAGTGAGGTCACGGTGGTGTTCACTAGAAAGAGCCCAGGGACCCAGGTGGCTCTTGGCTCCATCACCTACAGCCCCATGCCCTTGAATGAGTCCCTCTCCAGCTTTTGACACCAGTTGACCAACCTCTAAAACAAATTATTTTGACTTGTCCTTGGAGCCCTGCGAGTCTGTCTCACCGTGGAGTGACTTGGGAGTCTGGACACCACCCATGCCGACTCCATGTCTAATACCGTGCACGTCTCAAGCACAGTGCCTGGCTCAGCACAGGCAGCAGGAAAGCTGTGTGGGTGTGCATCGGGGTTGGCAGACACCATAGTCAGCCTTTGCTCTCCCAAGATGGGGGAGGTCCTGAACCATGACTCAGGGAACTGCTCGTGCCTAAGCCCCCATCCCCTCCACAGTAGTGCAGAAAGGATGCTTTCCTAATCAGCTAATTGTCACACAATGTGGGATGCCCTGGTGGGATCCCCTGGTAGGAGAGCAGATGACTTCCAGAAGCACATAGAGGGGGCAGAGGCTGCCGGCTGACCCTTGATACCCCTCATCCCCTTCATTTAACATTAGAAATCCCAAAGTTTAGCTGCCGGACCAAAACTGAATTTCCCATCCTGCCTTGCAGCTGGTGTGTACCTTCCCAGTGTACCCTTAAATGCATGGGTACGCCCCACTTTCCCTTCTCCTCTTCTCTCCTGCCTATTGTGACTTGCACCTCCTTGGACCAACTGGACAAGAAAAGCCTCCCTCAATGACAGAGCCCAAGATGGGCGGGTCGAGGCTCAGCCCCAGGAGCTGCCGAACCAGCCCAGGACCCCTGAGGCGGAGGTTGTCACATGGGAGAGAAGCAAACCTCTGGCTCATGAAGTCATGGGTATTTGGGGGTCTGATGAGTTTACTTACAAATAAATATGGGAAGTATATTTTATATCAATAGTTATTTATTCACTTTAATATCCATTAGATAAAAATATCTCAACTAGGCCAGGCACGGTGGCTCACGCCTGTAATCCCAGCACTTCGGGAGGCTGAGGCGGGTGGATCACAAGGTCAGGAGATTGAGACCATCCTGGCTAACACGGTGAAACCCCGTCTCTACCAAAAACACAAAAAATTAGCAGGGCGTGGTGGCGGGCGCCTATAGTCCCAGCTACTAGGGAGGCTGAGGCAGGACAATGGCGTGAACCCCGGAGGCGGAGGTTGCACTGAGCCGATGGCGCCACTGCACTCCAGCCTGGGCGACAGAGCGAGATTCTGTCTGAAAAAAAAGAAAAATCTCAGCTAGTGGAATCACCTCTGCGATTCTACTAGGTGAACCCACCAGCAATCCTGGGGATGCTGAGGACCCTCCTCAGCGCATGGCCCTCCTGACTTTTGGGGGAGCCAGCATGAAGCCCCCATGGCCGCCCGGCTGGCCCGAGCTCCTGGACTCAGCCTTGACCGACACTGACTCTGTTCCCACAGCGGCCGCTTTGTCTCCTTTGTGGACACTTAGCTCAGTGCCTGTGCTGCTCGGCTGTGACCTGACCTCCGAGGGTCACCCCCTGAATTTGCTCGCTGTGGCCTGCACTGCAGACCCCGTCAGGAAGCTCCTGGTCTCCCCTCCGCCCCTCCCCCGCCTCATTCTCACAAAAGGTCTCATTGTTCTGCAGGGTCTGATTCAGACCTGCCCTGGTTTCAGTTTCCGCAATCGCCCAGCACTGGCTTTGGGTCAGGGGTCACTCTGTAGTGAACGGGGCGCCCTGAGCAATCCCACATCCCTGCGTGATCCTGGCTCAGCCACAGGAAGCCCTGGCCCAGGGACCCAAATGGGGCCCCGAAGTGGACCAGATGCAGTGTGGGCGGTGATGTGGGGACGCCAGCATCTCCAACAGTGGAAAAGAGGAAACCTACTTTGCATTAAGCCCGTCCTCTTCTCCCCCAGGGTTAGGGGGACACAGTGTCTTCACTGGCCATGTTGGAACGTTCTGGGGAGTGAAGGGAACGTCCCCAAGACGCAGTGACTTGACTTTCGCTTTGGCTGAGATTTGAAATTCTCTTCTTACGGATCTTTAAATCTGTACACGCAGGAGTCTGTTTTACATCCAGCTGTCCCCGTGACCCCAGGCAAGTTCCCTACCTTGTGTTTCCTCATCTGTAAAGTGGGAATAATGACCGCACGGCCTCGCGTGCTTGTCAGAACCAAATCAGACAAGGCACGAAGACCCATCGGCCCGGAAAGCCGCAGCTGGGCCCTGACGATGCCACGCTATCCATCTGGGGAGGGGAAGTTCATTGCTAATTCGGCTCAAAGGAGGAAAAATGCACGTCCCCCTGAGCTGAAAGAAGGAAAGAAGCCAGGTCCACCAGGCCACCGGGTCTCCTTCGGCTGAGGAAATGGACAATGAGGGTGACATCGAAACTGCAGAGAGCAGCAAAGCCCTTCACTGCTGCTGCCTGGACCCCGCAGCGGCTCCTGCGGCACCACAGGTCACTGGGCCAGAAGCCAGTTAGGGAACAGCCACACCACCATCCAGGGAAGCCGCTCCCAGGCGCTGATCCCCGGAATGGTGGGTTTGCTACCAGCAGCCACACGGACACCTCGCCTCATGCCAGGCTGCGGGGCCCAGGGGGGGGGGGGGGGGGGCACGATTGCCCAAGCAGGGGTGGGGCAGGGCAAGGTAGACCCAGTCACATGGTGGGAAAAGCCAAAACAAAACTGCCTCATTTGGTAAAATGCCAGAAAACTGCCTGAATTGGGCATTTTAAAGGTAGTTTTTAAGGCATAGCCATTTGTTGGGGCTTTTTGACCTTGTACTCTCCTGTCTTCCTCCTCGTCACACAATAAACTGTCTCCAAGGCAGGTGCCCTCCCCCGGCCCGTGCCCCAGCAGGACGTGCCAGGCAGGGAGGTCAGGAGCTCTGCTGTGAGGGCACCACCGGCTTCCGGTTTGTGCACAAAAACCCGGTTCAGCTTTTCCACTCCATGAAGACTGGGCTTCTCCAGGCTGCTCGGTAAATAATCACGGATTCCACTGGCAAGAGGAAACGTCCCCACAGCCCCTTCTCCATGGTGTACCCAACCTCCAGGTGTTTTCAATCTCAAAGAGCCCCGACTCCTGAAATTTAACAACTAAAATGTTAGTTTTCATTTCCTGAGACTCTCCTGGTGGAACCGGCAACCTGGCAGTGTGCAGCACCTAGGGCGGCTCACGATGAAAAATCCAGAGGGGATTCTGCCTGCCTGCATGTCCCTTTGTCACCAGAACCCGGGGACCAGCAGGACCCAAAGC